TCAATCTCATTTTTTGTCGAACCGTCGGGGCTCGACTAGGTCCACTTCCTGTGGGGCCGCTTCTGGAAGAAAGAGTTCATCATAAAGAGTCCCTCTTTCTCCATGAAGTCGGCCAACTGCTGGCCCCTTGGGTTCCGTTGCCCTATTCCAAATTTCCCCACTTTCAGCTCACCGTTCTCTCTTGTGCCTAGTTTTGCATTGAAGTCTCCCATTAACACCGATATTGGGTTTTGGAGGAATGCATGGCTCTAGAGATATCCTCATACATTTCCTCCACCTCCTGATCGGGGTGTGCCGAGGTTGGTGCGTAAACCTGTATGACCTTCAGCGAATACCGTTTGGTGATTCTGAGTATAAGGTACGCAACCCTCGTCGACACACTCTCAATCTTTACAACGTTGTTAACGAGAGACTTGTGGACGATAAATCCGACACCTCCTTGGGACAGATGGTCGCCCTCCCGGTGATAGAGCAAGTTGCCGGATTCGAGGATTACCGTGTCCTCCCCCTCTCTTCGGACTTCGGATAATCCTATAATATGCCAGCGTAACTTGTCTATCTCTTCTTCCAGCTCCACAATCTTCTCGTCAGTCCTCAGGGTGCGTGCGTTGTATGTTGCCAGGTCGAGTCGTTGTAGGTGGCAACCGAACCTCCACCGGAGATTCTTAGCACCCCCTGCCCCGCCGTTACCATGGTCGCCACCGTAGCCAGGAATAGCGGGGCCGCCGGGGACTGGGGGCCGTCTCATCGTAACTTTCATTATGGGGGGTATATTGCCATAGTTGCCACGCTTGGCGAGCGGGTTGGCAACCGCAGTTTTTTATTGTATTTTTGCCGTTCCCAGGAAGATGCTGCTGCCCATCTCCTGCCTGTTTCCCTTTGTCGCCTTTTACGACACCCACGGGAAGATATGGGGTAGTGGATATTCTTAACCGCCACTACACGGTTAATAAAAATCATTCTATTCTATTAAAATAATTGGCAAAATTAACTCAAACGCCTATTTGCATACTATCAAGACATAAACAACACTTTTCTATCTGTCTGTCTGTCTTTCTGTCTATCTGTACGGGCTAATCTTCGGAATGGCTAAACCTATTGTGCAGAAACTTTATGAATAGATCGAGATCAATGTCAGAAAGAAGCTATATTTTATCCGGAAAACTTGAAGGATTTTAAAAAAAAAACAAACAAAAAATTGTTGAAATACGAGTACATGGTCTTGGATTATCTTAAATCTAAATTACACGACATTATTAAATCCTAACCAGGCGAACCAGGGGCGGGCAGTTCGCTATATTTAAAAAAAATTAAACCAAATGTCTACATTTATGTATGTACACATACACACAACAAATTCGAGCGCAGTGCTGGTGTGACATGGACATTGTACATGACTTGTATTGTCCATGTCATCTCTAGACTTTATTCTCCAATACATGCCTATCTCTAAGCAATAATTAATTATTAATTAATCAAATTATATGATAATTTATATGTAAATGAATAACCTAATATACATTGATCTATTTATTAAACAATTGGTAAGCATCACATCACACATTAAGTAAGAATGAATTCCTCTGTGATTTTAACTTTATCTCGGCAGCGAAGTGGCTAAGTATTTGCTGGAAAGTCGCGGGTTCCATTCCCGCATGTAATTAGTCTTTATGTTCTTCATGTTATTGTTCCGGGTTTGGAGCTTAGTCAACGATCAAATTATAGTGGTGCGGTACAGAAAACAAAACCCTACTGTGTACTTGTACTATCTGGTTTTTTTTAAATATTATACCGTGTGGAGTTCAAAGCTTCCACATATCACCTCGATCAAAATTGGTTAGAACCATTGAGTTTACTACGTACTAGATAAGCTATTCCAAACAAAAATTGTGCGCTACTCTATGTATTCGCGCATGCGCGGGGGATAGTAGAGTCGCGCATGCGCGAAGACTTTAATTTAATATAAAATAAAATATTAATATAAAATACTCTTATTTTAATCTAAACAAACATAATATTTCTAAATAAAATGTAATAATAATTATTTTATGGAATTCACAAATCTTCAATTTACGCAATATTTAGTTTGTACGGATTGCAGTACAGTTCAGTTGAACATAGTCAATGTTTGGAATGCGAAATCTAGTGCGTAGTACATATATACCGATGGTTAGAACGCTATCCTACTATTGATCGAAGCATTACGCATGTAGAGTTATAGTTAGGTAAAATTTGATAATTAGTGAAATAATTTAATTATGAGAGCATTATTAGAGCATACTAGCTAATAATGAAGTACAAGTATTTATCCAAATCACAAAAATGACGCTGGAGTTTCACTAATTGACTACAATCGCAAATATAAAATATATAATTATACTCTAAAATTTATAATTAATACAAATGTTGATTCTTAATTGAGGATAGATGTAGTTGTCTACGGGAGATGGTATCCACTTACCGTCAGGTAGACTGTGGGCCCATTTCGGGACCCTAGCTTCTATAAATGAAATGGGTGCAGTCTGTTTGTTGACAGGCATAAGCAGCACCCAGACTTACTTCTTGGACAGGAAAGAAGCTGTACCACCTAGTACTGTCAATTATAGATATTAATTGATAGAATCAGGCGTTACTTTGCGGAAATCCATTATAATGGGGTTGTTATAAACTAATTTGCTTAATTCCGCGTAAAGAAATAAAATGATGTGTCCTGCCCAGTTTTAAGGGGACCTCCCACCCTCCCTCAATCGCGCGCACTATATCCGTCACCGTCAATCCCAGCACTACCACTCCCAGCACCAGCACCAGCACACTAGGCACCACACACCAATCTCAAAAATACGACGTGTTTCGCATCTACACTCTACTTTGAAGTAGACTCTGCGGAGGCTGTCCGCTAAGTGAGGATAGCGTCACTGTGTTGTCACCCTTATTCACTTTTTATGGATCATAATAACCCCTGGGAATGAGGTGATCGCCATTAATTATATCGTGATACATCATTGTAAGCTGTTATTTTAAACAAAAGTCCCGCTGGGTTTCTTGCTGGTTCTGTTTTTTTTTTTGAACCAGTGGTAATTAAACAGAAGAGTGACTTTCAATAAGTATTATTTATAATCTATATTGAATCAAAAAAAAGTTTCTGTTTTTAATTATTCTATAAAAAAAAACAGCAATGAAACCACTGCTATTTCTCAACAAAAACAAGTAAGAATGTGGCTCTTATCCAAACAGAATCAAAGTGAGAATAGAGTGGCACCAACCTTGTTGTGCCATTTGGTAGAAAAAAGCCCTTACGGCTATTACTATAAATTTTTGCTACTTTATATACTACTATAAGATGGCTGCAATTGATCACATAATTAATTGATAAAATTATGAATACAATGTCACACGAGCAAAATATTGTGCGGCTTTCGTCGGCGAGGACGAGTTGCGAAACAACCGAACATCGTTGATATATATATTGGCGCGGAAGACTGACCGTGCATAGCTCGATATCACTGTCCAGCATATCTTATCGTCATACACAACCATGAAAGCCTTCGTGAGTATTCGTTTTTTGTAGTTATAGAAAAGTGTTTTAGTTTACATAACAATTAGTTCACTTGATAGAGTTCAAGCCTTAGACTTAGACCAATTCCAATGGTACCCATATGTTTATAAAGTAATTAATCCTACAAATATTATAATCTTTAAAGTTTATGAGAATGTATGGATGTATGGATGTTTATTACTCTTCTACGCAAAAACTACTGAATGTATTTTAATGAAACTTTACAATAATACAGCTCATACATCAGAACAACACATAGGCTATATATAATTAATAAAGATATTGTGTAAATTGGCCAAAATATAATGATAAGTGTTAAGTAAGTCAGAAAAAATCTGTCAACTGCGAGCTATTTTGGCGTGCGGTGCAAAAACTGTAAAGTATAATTGGTTTTAAGTACAATATCTACGCGGACGAAGTCGCGGGCAAAAGCTAGTATTTAAGTAAATCATCTTCAACGCTTTCATATCCGTTAAATTATTATTTTTTTCATTTATTTCACTTTAGAAAGTTAATACAATCGTGTAAATTGCGCCGATATAAACGACTGAGGTCTGCAGACAGTGCCAAATTTACTCGTTGTTGTTGCCACGACATTGTCCTGGCAGACTTCATAGAAATATTCAACAGATCTCATAGCGGGGGAAATTAATTTGTTATATAAGTATGGAAGTTAATGGTACTTTCTGAAATATAATTTATATGTTATATTAATTAGATTAAAAATTGATAAACAAAACTACGGATATTCCCAAATGCATCAGAATTTAAAAATAAATGTGTAAAAAATTAAATAATACAGTACCGAGGCATTGTTTCAAAATCCGAAACCTTATAATTTAATCGTAACTTTTCAATTATTATGAAACTGTGTAACAAATAAGTTCACCTTGGACCCAACTAACGACATCTGGTGAGCGTAAAATTATTAACCCTCGTTCGCTGATAAGCAATTATATTGTGTAGTATCAATTTCCTCGCACCTTACATTCCTTCACCGGTCTACCTGTATTAAAAAAGATTACACCGCATAAATCGAAAACCATGTGACTTTTAATGTCTCCTTGCCGTTTCCTTATATCCTTCGAAATTTGACTGACATTTAATTCCCAAATATTTTTTTTATATACCAATTGTTTTTGACATACTGAGCTGGTAAACAATGATGTAGTACAAATTTTCTTACATCTTAAACTCTAGATCTCGTCTTGTATCACAGCCGATATGTTTATTATAAAACTGTTTACCTCCAAATTATCATTATCCTTTCAAAGAACTCGCCAACGGTAATGACTTTTTAGGATTTTGTAGTAGTAGCCCGGTGACCCAATTGTGCTGCAACAATAATAATATAGCTGCAATGTGACTATGCCACGTTAGATACAGTAAGAGCTATAAACTTAATATTATTATTTAATTAATGTAAATTTGAATTTGGATACAGATCGCAGTGTTGTGCCTGGTGGCTTGTGCAGCGGGCGGCAGTGTGCGCGAGAAGCGCGGCTTCCTCGGCGGGCTGTACTCCGGCGGCGGCGGATACTCCGGCTACGATGGCGGCATCTCTGCCTTAGGCGGCATCTCTGGCGGCTACTCCGTGCCCGCAGCTCAAGTGGTCTCCGTCAACAAGGTCGTCAACGTTCCCAAGGTTGTGAGCGTCCCACAAGTAGTCAGGGTCAACAAGGTCGTCTCCGTGCCCCAAGTTGTATCCGTTAACAAAGTAGTGGCCGCCCCCAGCTACTCTGTATACAGCACCGGTTACAACGGCGGATACAGCGGCGGATACGGCGGCGTATACGGCGGTGGGTTCGGAAGCGGGTACGGCTACTCCGCCGGTGGTTCCAATGGCTGGTGGTGATCGTCGCGGACGAATGTTGTCTAGTCAATTGTACAAAGTAATGTTTCAAAAATGTTAATGTTAATTGTAAAGTAAAATATAATATATTTTTATTTTCTTTTGCTTTTTATTTGAATTTACACAAGAAAGTTGTGTTTGTTCCAAAAACTGAACATAGCTTAGAGAGATTTAGAAGCAGTATAGGAAAAAAGCTTCAATTTCTTCCATATAAAAACAATACTGAATATTTAAATAGATAAGTATTAAAAATTATAATTCTTGAATTTAATAAATTTGTTTTTATAAAATATTATCAAGAGATATTGCAGATTGTTTAAAAACTATTAATATTAAGAATTCAGCACATCTATGGGGAATATTAGTTAAAGTTGTTCCGTCTAAAATAGAGACGATCTACCCCAACTTGCTATTATTTTTAATACTGGTGTGTTTCCTGATTCAGTATAGACATAGTAAAGTCATACCTTTATTCAAATCTGGTAGTACATTGGACCTTATAAATTTTAGACCTATTTCTATACTCCCAACACTCAACAACTTTTGAAAAAGTTATTCTAGATCATGTGTTAAGCATTTTCATGTAAATAAATGCCTCCACAAAAATCAGTTTTGTTTTACAAGGGATCGCTCTATAACTGACGCCGGTGTTGAGCTGATTAAACATATTTTCTATGCATGGAAGAATTCATAGGATGATTTCAATATATTTTGTAATCGTTCTTATGCTTTCGACTTTTTTCACCATGAGACATTAATCAGGAAGCTACATCATTATGGTGTAAAAAACTTAGCACAACTTATTACATCATATTTAAATAAAAGAACACAAACAGTTGTGATTAATGGGAGTAGTTCTTCCAGGTCGGTAGTATCTATGGGTGTTTCTCAAGGCTCAATTCTTGGCCCCAACCTGTTCTTTGTTTATGTTAATGACTTACCCTACTTGGTAGGGAATAAACATGAAATAGTTTTATTTGCTGGCAATACTCCATGGGTTGACTGGTAGAGAATGCCACAAGGCATTAAGTCCGCCCTTTGTATTCTTTTAGATTAAGGAATGCAATAAAGAATAAATAAATAAAAATAAATACTTCGTAGATTTTACGACTTAAGCGACAATTATTAAAAATATGACGAAGTGAATAATGTTATTTCAGAATTGATAACAATTTGCTTTTAAATGGTAATAAAATGAAATATACACAACATGACCAGTGGGATTTTAAAGGGAGAGGAGCTGAACCTTGTTAAATTCAGTGTTTTCTCGGAGTTACAGTTGACGCGATGCTTCAAACGAGACCTCCATATGTATATTTAAACTAGTTACCAAAGTTAGTTCTGCGGCATATGCTGTAAAAAAATTAGAGGCACTCACATGTGTTGAATCAGCTAGATTAGTTTGTATTAGTTATTTCCGTAGTATAATGTCATATGGAATCTTGCAATGGGGTAATGAGATTGACATTGAAATTATCTTTGTTTTGCAAAAGAGAGCGATAAAATTTATAACCTATATGTTCGAAGGAGTCCCTTAACTTTGGCCTCACAGTATATTTACACAATAACAAAAATAGTTTTATTAAAAATAGTGATATACATTCTGTAAATGGAGAAGGCTCCATCAAGGGGTAGCTCACATGGTTAGCGCTCGCTGTAAATTTCACAGTACTGGAGCAACCCGGGTTCAATCCCCGCCGGCGCCAATGAAATTATTAATAGCAATTTTAAGTTAATTAATTGACTACGTACCCGACGCTGAAGGAAAACTTCATGAGGAAATCTGCATGTCAGGGAAAAAATATCGAAAACATGTAAAGTTCGCCAACACGCATTGGGGTAGTGCGGCGAGCATTTCCTTGCCCTAAAACCCTCTCAGAAATCAGAAGTGAGAGGAGACCTGTGCCCAGCAGTGGGACGTATATAGGCTGTATCTTTAACTATAACTTTTAACATTCTGTAAATACTAGGAACAAGCACAAGTTATACCAGTTACTAGAGTCAATAATTCCTTAATGGGATTTATCTATCAAAAAGATTAAAATTTTTCTTAAACAGAAAACACTGAAGATACGTAATTGATAATAACCCACTAGGAGTGAGGTGATCGCTACCATCCTGTTTCTAAATCTAAAAACGTTACTTAATTGTATAGAAAATATTATATTTGTAAGTTAATTTTAAAAGAATATTCCCGCTGGGTTTTTTGCTGGTTCTTCCGAGGACAGAAGTTTTTTTTCGAACTAATGATAATGCTTATGTGACTTTTAATAAGTATTCTTGTAACCTATCTTGTATATGTAAATAAAATAATAGAGGTTTACAGTTGTGGTCGCATCACGGAAAAACTACTGGATAGATTTCAATTAGGTTTTTTAAGTTTTATTTCTTAGACACTTGGCCTTTATGTTAAAAAAAATATAGCGATATCTTAATTAAATACAAAGTTATTAACGTTTTCAGAAACAAAGATTTTTATAAGTACTACGTGTTTAGCGATGTGCGTTTTCTTGCCGCGGAAAAGCGGGGCAAGTGGTGTAGCGCGCATGCGTAGGGGAGAGGAGAAGTCTCTTGTACCTCTGCCTCATGATAAAGTTAAAGCCAGCCGCGCATTGTTTGCACGAGCGACCTGATGCTGTTCAGTTGTACCTCGATCAGTTGCCCCCGTAGTTTCCCATAGTTTCATCAGTAATTTTTTGAAGTACATACGGAAACTTTGTTAATATATCAACTATCAACGCGGATGAAATCGCGGGTATCAGCTAGTATTGAATAAAAATGATCCTATTTCATTTTATTCTATAGACTTCTGTACTTTATTAATTATACGTTACTTACTTGAGGATCTTAATTGTCCGTTAAAAACAAAGTTCTTACATTAATTAATGTTTTCGCCGAAATTGTTTAAATTAAACAATTTCGCTGAAAACATTAAGTAGTGTAAGAAGGCAATCTAAGATCGACTTGTTTAAACTCTCTTTACAAATACTGTTTAAACAAATTTTATCATACATGTTATTACAAATTCATTAAACTGTAAAGAAGTAAATTTTATTAAAATTATTTAGGGTATTTTCTAATAAATTTATTAAAGAAACAAATTAATTTAGCTTGTAATTTTAACTTATTAATCAAAGAACAATTCACATTATACAGTTTTAAAAATGGCTTTATATTTCGTAGATCCATTTAACAAGAGATAAGAAAATTAATAATCAGGAGATAACATATAATGATGCCTTTTTTGGAGGAAACGTTATAAGAACGGTGGTGTGTATTTCCTAATGTAGAGGTAAGCGTAGTCTTAGGTAAAGATTTTGTTTTTCTTTATACAACTGAAGTGGCAAACGATTATACTGACCAATTGATGATAAGTGACAGACCATAGATACCCGCAGCCAACCTTAAACAAAGAATGCATCACATCAGAGCAACCACGCTCAAGCTACCCTACTCTTCCTGAGCGTGGGTGCTCAGGCTGCCCCGCGTGTTCTGGGGGACGGATGAAATTTCACTCGAGACTAAGCCTGCTCGGGGTAAACGGCGCAATAATTCAAAGGCGCCCCAGCCACGCTATCCGTGAATTTCTGCAATATGAGGGGACTTCATTCAAATCTTAACGCCGTCCACTACCACGTGATAACGGTGAAGCCGACCTTGCTCTTTCTAACCAAGACACAGGTGTCCTCTCCGACTTATACTTCGTATCTCTCCTACCCGGGTAACAAATTAGAACACTCCGTTGTGCCCCGGGCTGGAGTTTGCGTGTTAGTCAGAGGGGACATCTGTTTTCGACGCCTCGGCAGCCTTGAAGGTACGGACCTGCCCATCTAATGGCTGCGCGTAGACAGCGACGACCATCCTTGCGTCTACGGGTACCTCTATAGGTTCCATAGCGGCAATGCCGACACAAATTAATTCATCGACCACGTCCAAACGGCCGCAGACTCCGTGCTTCAACAGGTTTCATCCGCAGAGATCGTGATGCTTGGTGATTTTAACGCCCACCACGCTTAATGGCTTGGTTCTCGTTTAGCCGATAATGTGAGTAGATCTGTTTATGACTTTGCTTTGGCATATGGTCTGACAAAACTGGTTACTTCGCCTACGTGGATCCCAGATGTGGAAGATCATGTACCTTCCCTGTTGGACCTTCTGATGACCTCTCATCCGGATGGATATCAGGTCTCCGTCGATGCCCCTCTTGGCTCCTCGGACCATTGTCTGATCCGGAGTACGGTGCCACTCACGTTCCTATTGCGATTGCGATCTGCAAGGCTGTCGCCGTATTTAACACTATAGTAGGTCGGGCGATTAGGCTGGGATGCGGTCTTTCTTTGCATCCTATCCTTGGGGGCAGGTTTTACTTCCCGCCGGATGAGCTAAGCGCTGAAGCTGATTTTGTCGCTGCTATGGTGCTACAGGGAATGGAACTTTTTATTCCATCATCTGTGGTACCTATCGGAGGCAGAACCCAGCCATGGTTTGGTTGCTCCTGCAAAATTGCATTACGCCATAAGCAAGAGTGCTACCAGGCCTGGGCTCACGCATCAACGTCTCAGGATTCAAATACCAGCGCTTTTAAAAGAAGTATAATTCTACCTCCAGGTCCTTCAAAAGTGTCATTGTTAAGACGAGGTCAAACCGCATCGGCAGAATTGGCGAGAAACTAGTTCGTCTTCCTTCGGAAACACGTGCATTCTGGTCCCTCGCAAAGACCGTCCAAGGGAACTTCTGTCAGCCATCTCTCCTATCTCTGCACGGGGAGGATGACTCACTGGCGATCAAAAGGATGGACGGACAAAGGACAAAGCTGGCTTATAGTTATAGTAGTACTCAGACCAAAGGTCGATAGTGTAGTCCGATTATCGGTGGGGGTGATGTGGCGATGCTGTCGTAATGCCACAAGCGTAAACACATCGAAGCCTAAATCGCGCTAACAAATAGTTATATAGAATAGCTCCAAACTACCACTCGGAGCGTTGGCCGCTCCCCGGGCAGAA